TATGTTTACATCCTCCAGCATGTTGTCATCAGTGCACAGCCTTCTGGTCTAGGCATATGGAATACTGGCCATTTAACCCAGATGATGAGGGTTGTTATGGTGCCCTTTTGATTCTAAGATCACAATATGCAAAGATTGCATACTGCAGTCAGCTGTCAGATCGAGATTGCAATATTGCATGCCTTAGCCTGTTTATGTGGTTTGCTCTATCTATTAAAACAACATATATTGTTATGGTATCTGCAGTGTGGTCACATATTCGGTACCTGCACGTGGTGTTGGGACACCCGTGCCCGTTATCGTGAGAGCTACAAACCCAGCAGAGGAGAAGAGAATTGTCCGCATGGGACTCCGCACTGTCTGCAAAACCTGTGTTCTCTTCTAAGATCAGAAGAATTATATTTCCTCTGTAATAAAATCCAAAATGTTAGTCACAGGGAGATAAAACTGATTCCTCCAGCGTATTATGGGCTATGTACAGAGACGAAACAGTGTGTGCTGGTTGTAGAGAAGCATGTCAAGTCCAACAAAACAAGTCCATCAAGTCCTTCTAATAGGTTGGACTTGATGGACTAATGTCTTTATTCAACCTCAAATACTATGTAACTATGTCAAATGGTTATATGGGACCCTCTTGCAGCAGACATTGTTGTTTGGACTTGCTGTGATCGGAATGATGTGCTGATGTCAGAAATCCAAATCCCAACCCAGCCATTAGAACTGACTAATCCAAATACCCTACAGCCACCTCAGGAGACCGAAATCTCTCCTCGCAGAAGGTGGTTGGCCAAAGTCAATCCCACATCTTTCCACTATAAACGAAGTCGTCTGAAATAGTCCTAAACAGGCCACCGCCCGCCATGCCCCACCTCCCTCTGCTTAGTACATTAGTGCACACTTCACTCCATTAAAGGAGAACTATGAGGGGGGGGGGGGGGCTTTTCACTCACCTCATAGTTCTAGCCGACCTGTGACAATGAGACTGTCACAGGTCGGCTCAGTAGATCGGGAGGTGAGGGAACACATACCGGCGTTCGCTCACCTCTCGATCCTGTCACAGCTCTCTGCCGTGACAGGGGAGGGGCTAGATTTCCCCCTCCCCGCTCCGATTCCTCCAGCGCTGACTGTTGGAACGGACGGGGGAGGGGGCAGAGCCAGCTGTCACTCACGCAGCTGGGCGGTTCCCGGCACAATTGTCAGGATCCTCTTCAGCTGCGGCATCTCAGTATACCGCGAGCTATATACTGAGCTTAGGGTGACGGGAGGACGCTAGTTTGTGTCCTCCCGTTACCCTAAGGAGAACTATGGGGAAAAGCCCTGACCCCATAGTTCTCCTTTAACACCTGTGCTAAAGGCTGGAAGCTTGTTCGAAGTGTCTGGTCTAGAAAAGTCCACTTAGTGTTTTTGGTTAAAGAAAAATACAAATATGGCAGCTGCTCGGATCTGTTAAAAACTAGCGGAAAGGTGGACATGGGGTAGGGCAGCATACAAAGAAGTACTAACGGGGTCTCCAGCAGACTTTCAGGCCGGCCAGCAACAGAATCAAACGAATTAAGAATTAACTTCTCAGGTTTAGTTACATCTGCAGATACATGTGGCTGATAATTGTGGCCCCTGATTCTACGCTACCTGAGTTTCATAACTGTGGGACACATATAGCAATGCACAGAGAGCCGGCTGAACCCTGACCTCTAAATAACAATGATTGAAAACATTAACACAACAAAGATTTAAAAACGTGAAAATAATTTTTGGGAAATGAAATTAACATGATAAAGCTTCTATGAGATAATAATAATGTAGCGCCCTCTAAAATGTCGCTATTCAATTTAGAGATACCTGGACTGTAACCAGTCTGGATCCTGATTATACAGAGCTCTGCATTCTATAGGTGTCCCTGAATCTGCTGGATTGATTGCTCCTCCTGTTGCTGAGGAAAAGGGAGCCTTGGTATACAGTGAGGGAGGATCCACCCTCAGATTATGACTATGCACCTGACCCTAGCCAATGGCTGAGAAGGATGACTCAGAGGCATGGTTGAGGGCAGGTAATAAAAGGTCTGGGGACACTGTGCAGAGGTCTCTTCCCCATAGGAGCCTCGCCCTAGGAGGTCTGGGTGATGCAAGCAAACGGCCTGGGCCTCAGCACATGGCAGGTGCTGAGGGGCCTAGAGGCCTAGGATACAATGATACTTTGCTGGGCCCATACACGTGGCAGGTGTTGGGTGCCTTGTTCTAAGAAGATACTACCATCAACCTGGAGTGCTCCTTGGCAGTTGCAGATGCTGAGGGCACAGAGATTCCAGATCCTAAAGAGGTAAATACCTGATGGAAGCTGGGTCGGAAGGAGAGTCTGCTTGTTGAGGGGTACCGCAGAGGAGCTGATGAGAGCGTCCATCTGGGACCCACAAGGGAGATCCCTCACCCTATTCCAGGTATCTGTTCGAGAAGAAGCCAGCGGTCCTTACCTAAGTCCAGAGATAGCGAACCTTCTCCATATAAGCTACCGGATCATCCTGGCTGTTCGCAGTATTGTTACTACTATTGGTCTCTGGTACCAGATCACAGTGATTTCAGCCTTTCTGTCCTCCGAAGTATTTCCAAGGGCATCCTACAGATCCTAAACCCTCTCTCTCCTATTGAACTTGCAAATAAATAACCTTAAAAGGAACCATAAAACTCGAGCCATTCTGTCCATGAGTGTCGGTGTGCTGCTGCTGAACAAAGGGGACCTGTAGCTGGAACAAACAGGTAGGAGAACGCTATTTCATATTCGGGGGTGAGCGCTACAATAATAATTCACAAACACTTTAGAATAAACCTGTGCTTTGTTCATATCCCCATTAATGCCCCTCCCCCCAGCAGTTCACACTAACCATCCCTTTGCTCCCCTGACGCTACATTCACTCACTGTGTAAGATCCAATACCTCTATTCAGAACTCTCCTCCCACCCATGTGATATTATTAATTAGGGTGTTGGGTCGGGGTTGGTAATCAGTCATGGTACCACATCCATCAGAACATTGATTTTTGGGCAAACACTATAGGACTTTTAGGGTACCAATTGATGAAATGTCCAATGTAGGGCAGGGCAGAGCAACCGATGAGAGATGAATAACGTGCTGGATTAGTGTGATCCTAGTTCATTTTATGACTTCATCGCTGTGCTGTATGTGTATAGGTCATTGCTGTGCTGTATGTGTATAGGTCATTGCTGTGCTGTATGTGTATAGGTCATTGCTGTGCTGTATGTGTATAGGTCATTGCTGTGCTGTATGTGTATAGGCCAATGTGATTGGATCTGTATGTGCGTTATAATTCATCGAAATTAATCGATTTAAAACAATTTCGATTAATCGAACACGAAAATTTGAATCATTACCGGCCCTACAAAAAACCAAACAAACAAAACTGACTCTGTCACAAAGAAGAGGCGGACTACTCCTGCTCATGTCTCTCGCTGCCCCAATCTCTGCAGTAGTGATAAGAAACCACCAGCTGAAGACCCCGAATCTGACCCTTCAGGAGTGTCCATTGCCTGGTCTCCCACTGTATGCTGTGGTTCCTCCTGCCAGCCCCGGGGCCCGCAGGCAGATCCCACTATGGTCTCAGGCTGTCACCCCTCATCCACCCCTATTACGACTCCATCTAAGAACATGATGTAAGGATCTCACATTCTCACTCCTATCCCTTCCGTCCACCTTATGGTCACTGAAGGTGTCCAGACCACAATTCCTCTCAAAGAGAGGAAACCCTTCACCGTGATTTTCTGGTGTCCCATTTTGAGAGGTTTAGGGAGCGTATCTACTAGGGATGCATCAATGCCAATAACGAGTATTTGGGGCGAGTACTTGCCCGAATGCTCCTGATGCCTATCCCGATACCGGAACTTCCGGTATCAGGAAACCGAGTGACGAGTCATTACACGCTGCCCAGCTTCCTGATTGGCCGGGAAGCCGGCTCCATGCTCCCTCCTCACTTGGTGAGGAGGGAGCATGGAGCCATGTGAAAGTCAATTCGGATTCGGAATTCGGATTCGGACGAAATTCGTTAGCGGTAGTTCGTTCGAACGTTCGTTTCTTTTTCGTTTCTTTCACGCATTCGTTCGTTCGTTTGCAGCAAAGTGACATTTGAGGGGGAAAATGTTTTTCTTCAACGAACGAAACTAATAAGAAACGAAAAATGAAACGAACGTTCGAACGAACTACCGCTAACGAATTTCGGAAATTCGGATTCGTTTACATTAGTTATGTCTGTAATTCGGAATTCGGATACATCCGGATGTCCGAATTTCCGAAAATTCGTCCGCATTTCGATTCGGAACGAAACTAATTGCACATGTCTATTACCCGCCCCCCTGCTTCCTGATTGGCCAGAAAGCTGGCTCCATGCTCCCTCATCACCTGGTGATGAAGGAGCATGGAGCCGGCTTTCTGGCTAATCAATGGGACTTCCGGTATCGGTATTCGTCGAGTACCCCAAAAAATCGGTACTCATACTCGATACCGAAAAACCGGTATTGGTTCATCCCTAATTTCTACCCCCAAGATATAAAATATATTGCAGCAGCGTTCCAGACGTTGGGTGCGGTGGATGAATTCTTTTTCATTTTCAGGCCCTTTTGCCCTTTAGTTTAACTTGGAGATCCAGCCATTAACGCACTTCCTGTACTAGGATGACAAAGCTCCCTCACTGTATTGTATCTATGGAGGGAGCGTTGTCACCCTAGGAAAGGACATTGTTAGGGATTATATATTTAATTTCACTGTCCTGGTATGTGGCCCTGGGCAAGACTGCCTCCATCACAGCCTAGTCACTCAGGTTTGACGGACTCCCCTTGAGCACATTAAACTTGCACTGGCTGTGACGTTGGTTTGAGGAATCTATGGGGTGGAAGGTTGTCTGGCCCTCAGGCCTCCTGTCACTGTGTCACCTGTACCAGGAAGAAAGTTTGTCTCAGTGCTTTATACTGAACTGCAGCCACATCCACGGCGCCGACAATGAATGCAGTGCTGCTTCTTCTTCTTCTCCTGCCCTCTCTGGGGTACTCCAGAGTCATTGTGGATGGTGAGTAGTTGGCCAATGGTGTTGGGGGTATCTGGTGAGGTTGAATAGGCAGACCGGGCACCTGCTATGGGGCCAAGGAGCAAAGGAGCAGTCCGGTCTGAGTAGTCAGTCAATGGTGTTGGGTGTATCTGGTGAGGTTGAGGAGGCAGGCCGGGCACCTGCTATGGGGCCCAGCAGCACAGGAGCAGTCCGGTCTGAGTAGTCAGTCAATGGTGTTGGGTGTATCTGGTGAGGTTGAGGAGGCAGGCCGGGCACCTGCTATGGGGCCCAGCAGCACAGGAGCAGTACGCTCTTTGTGTACAATGTTATATAGGGGGAGAGATATCTCATGGGAGGTCATTTAATATACAAAGAGGGTAAAATGTCATTATACTGCAGCTATTGTGTTATTGTTTAATAACAGCATGGGCCCCGGTGGCTGTAGAACGAGGGGGCCCCACAGTGCTTTTCCTATGGGCTCCCGTCATTATCATACTGATCCAGATTTCTCCATAATATACAGGTTATAGAATGATATCCAGCCATCGTGTCCTTCCAGGATTTATATCATCGTGCCACCTTCCTGCCCTCCCCCCCAGTGTAAATGGCAGAGTGTAGATGAGTTTTGTAGTTCCATGGCAGCGGAGGTCATAAACTGTTTTCTGACCTCGTCCACCATCTACAAGCTGCAGGGGGGGAACTTGTCTGACTCGTCTGGTGTGTCCTCCGACCCTTGTGTCACGGGGGAAGGACGAGTCTTTGGATTCTTCTACTTATAATACATCATATAAGTCATACGAAGTCTCCGATCGCGCTCTGTTTGGAGGGGGGGGTGGGGGCAGGTCGCTTGTTTTCGGGAAATCGTTGTGGGGGGAGCAGGGAGTAGAGGGACCGCAGGGAGTAGAGGGACTAGAGGGGCAGCAGGGAGGGGAGGGGCAGCAGGGCAGCAGGGAGTAGAGGGGCAGCAGAGAGTAGAGGGGCAGCAGAGAGTAGAGGGGCAGCAGAGAGTAGAGGGGCAGCAGAGAGTAGAGGGGGTTGTGGAAATCCTATCTCCCGACACCCAGGACATGCATTTCCGGGCGCGGGGGAGTGTAGTTGTTTTTTACATTTAGCCCGGCTATGGGCAAGCAGAGCTAAATGTACAGCGGGGGAGCCTCCCAGCATGGATTTCGGGAAGACCGTTCCTGTCAGACTAACCTGCTAACTTTTTACGAAGAGGTAAGTAGAGATCTGGATGGAGGGTGGCCGGTGGATGTGGTACACTTGGACTTTGCTAAAGCATCTGACACGCTACCACATACACGGTTACTACACAAGCTGAGGGCTATGGGCATAGATGGGACATGTGTACATGGAGAGAGAACTGGCTACAGGAATGTGTCCAGAGGGTATCGATAAATGGCTCCTTCTCGGATCGGGCTCGGGTCATGAGCGGCGTTCCGCAGGGGGTCTGTGCTGGGCCCCCATGCTGTTTAATCTATTCATTAACGATATTGGGGAGGGGGGATAATGTAGATAAATGTAGAGTTTTTGCTCTTTGGAGTTAACAAGAAACAAGAAAACGGATTACACACTAATGGGAGCTCCCCTCGGAAAGTCCGAAAGGGAAATAGATTTGGGGGTCATCGTAGACCACAGGCTGAAGAATAACTCTCAGTGTCAGGCGGTGGTAAACAAAGCTAGTAGGGTCCTTTCCTGTATTAAGAGGGGAATGTTTTGCAGGGACAAGTCCGTAATTCTGCCACTTTATAGATCGCTGGTTCGGCCTCATCTGGAGTACGCGGTGCGGTTTTGGGCACCAGTGAACAGAAAGGATGTCCTTGAACTGGAGGGGGTCCAGAGGAGGGCAACCAAACTCATAAAGGGGATGGAGGACCTGAGTTATGAGACGCGGCTACTAAAATTAAACATGTTCTCCAGGGAAGTGAGGAGATTAAGGGGGGGACATGCTTTTCATGTATAAAATGTTCACCGGGGATAGCAACATGAGCAGCAAACTTTTTGGGGCGCATTGAGGAACCTGGCTTTGGGGCGGCAGAAAAGGTCAATCCGGCCCTGCTTGTATCCGTCTTCAAGAAACGTATCAAAGGAAATACAGATTGATAAGATCTGAAAATTGAATTTATCACCCAAAACAGAACATTCCCTGACTGGTTCGTGGCTTCCACGTGTCCTCCAGACTTCAGCCCGAGAGCAAACCTCAACCAAACCGATCAACCCAACAATCCCCTGCAATGTGAGAGCAGAACGTATCTAAACCATCACACTGACCCAACACCCGGCGCAATGTCTGTTCTCCTGACCACAAATATTATCACCAGAATTATCACACTGCCCTGGTAACACAAATAGCCCTGGTGACACCACGTGCAGCCCTGGTGAGCAATACAGAGTATGTAGCTTCATATTATTCTGCAGTGTTGTATAATGTATGCAGGTGCCAGCAGGTCAGAGGAAGATCCGGGTTTCAGGCAGATGCCGCCCGAGATCACGCATTGCGGGGACCTTGGCTGGTGCACCTTTGATTGCTCCTCCGCCTCCTTTTCCTCTTCTGGCTCCCTGACACCGTGCTGCCCACCTGCTGACCCCTGGTGAGACACCATAGCCCAGACAGTCTGCCTGAGAGTCTCCCAGCCCACCTTAGAGTCTCCCAGGCCACCTGAGATCCCGTTACAGGCCACCTGAGAGCCAGCATAGCCCACCTGAGAGCCCTCACAGGCCACCTGAGAGCCAGCATAGCCCACCTGAGATCCCACACAGGCCACCTGAGAGCCCGCACAGGCCACCTGAGAGCCCGCACAGGCCACCTGAGAGCCAGCACAGCCCACCTGAGAGCCCTCACAGGCCACCTGAGATCCTGCACAGGCCACCTGAGATCCCGCACAGGCCACCTCAGAGCCCGCACAGGCCACCTGAGATCCCGCACAGGCCACCTGAGAGGCCGCACAGGCCACCTGAGATCCCGCACAGGCCACCTGGAGACATCAGGATGCCAACCCAGAACAACAGTATGTAGTCTCACATTATTTTATATTGCTGTATAATGCATTGCTGGGATTTGTAGTCCTCTATAGCCGGTCTCCTTACGCCCTCTCCTCGCTCTCTCTTCGCTCTCTCCTCGCTCTCTCTTCGCTCTCTCCTCGCTCTCTCTTCGCTCTCTCCTCGCTCTCTCCTCGCTCTCTCCTCTATATTCTCAAATTGCCGCGCACAGTGCTAGTTTCATTTAAGGAAAAGGTGGCAACCCTAATCTGGATACCATCCACACAGAGTTCTCTTCCAGCGGTGACGGGTCTGATGATCTCTTCTGTGATTTCAGAACCAGAATACATGGTGGTGGAATCCACGAAATGTCCTCTGGATGTGGATTACCCGAAATGTGGGCCCGTAAAAGTGGAAGACCAATGCAAGAAGGACACGGACTGCGAGGGGCGCAGGAAATGCTGCACTTCCGGCTGTAAGAAGCTCTGCCTCATGACCCTGAAAGGTATGTGAAGAGGAGGGACGACCTTCACCGATCATCTCGTCCCTGGCAGGAGTGTAAAGGAGTGTAAAGCAAATCATTGGATGTCATGGTCACTATTTCATAGGGTAGAACGCGGCACCGAGGCCCAGACTTCTCTACCGTCCTTGTGCCAACTATCCCGCCTTGGGTCTATAACCTGCCACATCAGTCTCTGAGGGCCCTGGGTACCGGACTGCATCCATGAATGATTCCTCCCATGTGGCTACCAAAGGTGGAGCGCAGTAGAGTGGTGATTATAGAGCTAGAGGTCACTTCGGGGGCCCCCAGCAATGACTCTACACCCCCTCCCTGTACTCCCATAACCCCTGCACCTTATCAGGTGGGGTTCTTCCTCATACAAAGCAGGAGCCTCTCTGGCCGATATCAGATGTTCATCCTGCAGAGTCCCTGGCGCAGGAACACCCGGCATGTCTGATGCAATGTCTTCCGGGTCATTTCTCCTGATTTGATGACTTTCGTTTTCTCCTCAGTGAAGTCCGGCCGCTGTCCCTCTTATGAGCACAGCCTGTGTAACAGTGAGCAGCCAATACCCCATGAGTGCCACCGAGATGACCAGTGTCCCGGCTCACACAAGTGCTGCTACCAGTGCAGGCGACAGTGCACGCTGATACTGCCGTGTAAGTTATAAGAAGGGTGACACCGTCCATAGCATACAGACCACATCCATTCTACACTAGACATGTGCCATTCGTTTCGTTACGAATCGAAATTCGTACGAATTTTCCTGAAGTTCGTAAATTCGGAAGCATCCGAAATCCGAATGGCAGTTTATCCAGCATGCTGATTCACACTCCTCACCACGAAAACAAGCGGCACCACCAATACTGCAACTGTGTCCAGGGGCGCAACTACAGATCATGGGGACCCATAACTTATTTTGATCTCCTTCACTCTTCCCTACTGTCATTGATCTTAACATAGAGTATGTCTGAAGCAAGGACAGGCAGCAGAAGATCCATCGGCATAGTCAGTACACTGCCAGGGATCAGAGCTTTGGATGGAATATTTCCAGCTAACTCCTCCGTCCTCTGGAGCTCCACTCGTCTATATCAGAATCTCGAATCTTAGGACCTCAATGTAAATTCTAAGTCCTCCCACCCCTCCCCCCACCACCACCACCACAACGGGTTTTACATTTTGCAATTTTTATTTTACAGTTGAACCAACAAATGGCTTCGAGTAAATCATCATCGGAGAAGTAAAGATGGACCTTCCCATTGTCTTCTACGGTGGAAGGATGGACAGAAGGTTCTTCTGGCTGGGACCCGGATGACATCCAGCATTATGGGCTCAGACTTTGCAGACGGCTCAGATTGTCCTCAGCTCTGTGTGTGCTGAAATCCATTGTGGAGTGCTCCGGAGATTGGGGGACTTTTGTATTTATTGCATCATTACTGTTGTTGGTCACAATATGGAACACAATCTGTCATACCCACCTCTCTCTTCTCCTCCATATACTGGCCACTCCTTTATTCTCTGCACTCCTCTCCTGTACATACTGCCCCCGTCATACCCCCCACACTCCTCTCCTACTGCCCCCGTCATATCCTCCACAGTCCTCTCCTGTACATACTGCCCACTGTAATATCTTCTGCACTCCTCTCCTTCACAAGCTCCCATAGCCATACCTTCCACACTCTTCTCCTGAACACACTGCCCCCTGTAACATGCAGAGTGCAGTCGTCAGGAGTATTTAACATGCAGAGTGCAGGGGTCAGGAGTATGTAACATGCAGAGTGCAGGGGTCAGTAGTATGTAACATGCAGAGTGAAGTCGTCAGGAGTATGTAACATGCAGAGTGCAGGGGTCAGGAGTATGTAACATGCAGAGGGCAGGGGTCAGTAGTATGTAACATGCAGAGGGCAGGGGTCAGTAGTATGTAACATGCAGAGGGCAGGGGTCAGTAGTATGTAACATGCAGAGGGCAGGGGTCAGTAGTATGTAACATGCAGAGGGCAGGGGTCAGTAGTATGTAACATGCAGAGTGCAGGGGTCAGGAGTATGTAACATGCACCCTGACTGGTCTGCAGCTACACAGCCCCAGCAACCCGCCATGCTCTGTGTGTTCAGACACCTTTCTATCAGAACCAGCATGCACTTGTCGAGTAATTTAATCTACAGTAGGTCTTCTATTGGATCGGACTATATATCAAAAGGGGGAAAGAGAAAGAAAGGGGCTTTGTGGTGACCACTAGAGAATAGCAGGGAATTGATCCAATAATAAAGTCAATTGATTCATATATATAATAAAATTCCATTTTTAATATACTCAA